GAACTTACGGTAAGGGAGGACCGGAGGATCTTTGACTCAAGGGCTTCATCGTCGAGCTTCCCGAGGGCCCTCCTATCCAGAGCAGGGGTAGCCCCGCCCAAAAATTCCCGGGGGTCTACTGTGCCATGCCTAATGGCTGCCCCCTTCGGCAGGGAGAACTGTATGTCCTCCCGGGGTAGGCTTGCCTCACCCGAGGGCGGGTGAGGAGCAGTTGCTGTCATTGGAGCACTGGGCTTGGAGGCGGAGTGCTCGTCCACCACCACCACCAGGGGAGCATTCCTCCCGGCATCCCCCTTCTTCTGTTTCTTCCCCTCGGGGATTGGCGCCTTGCCGGCGGCTTTTCGCTTTGCGGCCTCCCCCGAGGGCTCACCGCCCTTCTTCAGCTCCCCGAGGGGATTCTGCTTGGAGGGCTCCTTCTGGCCCGGTGCCTTGACCTTTTGTTTCTTCATGTTGGCGAAGGTATTGAGGTCCATGTTGATACCTGGAAAAAAATTATAACGGTTAAGACCGAAGGAGAAAAGATACAACCAAAAGCATATCTACACCTAAATATACATAAGTCTAAAGGATGCCCTCGGCCACTACCTCCGGAGGCTCTCTCAAAAGCTGGGAACCTTTCGTCCGTTTCCCCCAGGAAGCTATACCGCCGGAACCCGAGGGTGTAGAGGTCCTCCTCTTGGGTGCACTCCTTGATGGTTATGTTTTTGTCTCGGCCCTCCGGGATCTTGGCCAGGATCCTGCCGTCTTTCTCGAGGGCGGAGCTCCTCCTCTTCTCATGCCTCCTGAACCGGTCACGCAATTCCCTCGGGAAGGGGCTCTCGGTCATCTTCACATAGCACCACCAGTCTTTCCACCCTTTGTTCGAGGAGGGCGCCTCAGTAAAAAGCTTGAACAGGGCCACCTGCTGCAAGTTTGCGAAGCCCTCGGCATTCGCATGCCCCCCACCCCCACCCCCCGGCACAGGTTGAAGCTCTGGAAGAAGAGATCCAGGCTAGGCGTTACCCCCCGGGACTTGCAGAGCTGGAGGAAGCCCGTGATGTAGGAATGGCTGTTCGGGGTCAGCTGGCAGGGGACAAACCCACGAACCGGAGGTACTCCCGGAGGAAGGGGTGTAGGGGAAACCGGAGCCCCATCGACACAGACAGGACATGCACCGCAATGCAGCCCTCGGGAGCCCGGGAGAGGACGTCATCGGGACCCGGTGCCACCACAACGGCCGAAGGGCCCACGTGTAGTTGAGTAACATACAGATCCGCCGCATCAGCCTTCGACCGTATTTCTAAGGCGGCGGTATTCAGGTAGGAATACCCCTCGGGCATATCGAGGGGCTTCCCGTGGTCTGCAACGCTGCCCTTCTTCTTGGGGGCAGCCACCTTCGCCTTCTTCTTTCCGGGGGCCACCCGGATGGGAACGGCGTTCAGCGGCCGAGAGGTGCTGACCTCGCTAGTGCCCCGAGGGGGGAGAACAGCAACAGTGACCCTCACGCCCTCTTTCTGCGCCTCTTCTTCAGCTGCTTGCCAGGCGAGGGCCAGCTCTTCATCTTCACACTCTTGTTCGAAGCCCTCGGCTTCCGCCTCAGCGACGAGGGCTCTCTGCAGCTCCATGGCGACAACAACATCTTGTCCCACCGAGGGTTGTTCGCTTGTGGACTCCACGTCCGAGACGGTTTCAATCTCCACCGAGGCCTCCCTCGAGATGTCTTGGGAATCACTAGCGGGCGACATTTTGGTGGGCTAAGGAATAGAGATAATCTAAAGTTTGAGGGCACCCTAAGAAACTCTAGACACTTAAGTCTAAGGCCACAGAAGCAGAACTCACCAAGTAAACGGAGAACAGAGGAGGGACTGACCTTGAGAGCTGAGGATTCAACCGAAGGCAGGTTTCTCTCTCTACAAAATTTTTGCCAGAGCTTCGCTACACTGAAATCGCACAACGGAGAATGACCCTGGCCTTGGGGTATTTATAGGCGCTGGGATCTGGGCTTGGGCCTGGAAACCGGGCCTCCGGTTGGACTGCCATCATTACAGACCGCGGTTTCGCCCAATCGGTGACGCCCGCCCACGGGCAGCCAACGAGCACGCACCACGTGGCAACCCCCCCCCCCCCCCAACGGCTATATCCTGACGTTAGATATTCCAACGGCTATATCTCCAACGGCTATATTCCGGGAGCTCCCGACTACATTTGACAGACCACTCCTTCATCAACCAAGAAATTAGCCCCGGGCTTTTTTACTTCAATCCATTTCATCAAGGAGAGCCTCCGGGTACACTTACCCAGAGACGCTCCCGGGTTGTGCCCCACACAGTACGTAACGAATGCCTTCGGGATCACTCCTTCAGAAACCCAAGGTTTCATATCAGGCCACCCCTCGGGGATCCCCCCTCAGCACTTTGAGGGCCGGGTAGCCCCCGGGGAGTATGCCTCATTGACGGATAGCCTACGGCACACAGGTAACGGGACCCCTCGGACATCCTCATCACCAACTAATCAACAAACAGGGGACCCCCGGCAACAATTCAACTACTACCCGCATTCATTACGCCCTCGATCCCCAGATTGAGGGACTCCCCTTCGGCGCCTCCCAGGGTACCAAAAGCAAGCCTCCGACTAATCAACAAATGAGCCCTCAGAACGGGGAAAGCCTCCGGCATCATCATTATTCTCCATTTCGAACCAAGGTTTCACATTTTCGATTCATCGTTGGGGGAATTCGGTGCACTCTTTTTCCCTCATTAGGATTTTTTCCCACAGGTTTTTTCCTAATGAGGTTTTTAACGAGGCAACCCCCCAAAATGAAATGAAAAGCGTCAGCCTTCGGCCCACAACAGCAACGCAACTACTCTACTCCTTTTCACCACTTTGCAAGTGCCTCAAGGAGTGGGGGACTGGAGGACCCCCTCGGGAAAAATCACAAAAATCACAAACATAACCCCTCAAGTCCCGACATGTGGGTAACTGAGGGACTGCCCTCGCCAGAATAAACAAACAGCAAACTACCCACAACTCTACAAACCACAAACGGAACAACGGCAGAGGACAAACACAATTACTCCTTTTCCCTCAAGTACCTTTCGGCAAAAGGAGTGAGGGACTCCTGATGGAGTATATGGCCCGGGAACCCCCGGCCCACAGACTCCTACTACTCCAATAAAGGCCCAACAGGCCCAGAAAGCACAACAAGCCCAAATCACAGCGTCCAGAGTACCAAGCAGCCCACAATGCGCACCAGGGGTGCCTTCGGCCCCCTGGCCGAAGGCTCTAACTCTCACAAAAGGGCCAAGACAGGAAAACAAAGTTACTGGGCAAAACGGCGAAAATCAGTAGCCCTCGGCACCAAGGGGGTCCCCGGTACTCAGAGCCCACGGCAGGTCCTCTACAGCCGAGGGCGCCTCTTCCGACACAATATCCGCTCCACATGCGTACAGATCACCGTACCCTGTACAACGTCCCATCCAACAGCCGCATTAAATGCGGCCATATGCGATTGCCAGCGCCAACCAGTTGAGGTGACCCCTCGGCCAATGAACGCTTGACACGTGTCCCTGTCCGGCATTTATTGCTACTATAAATAGCACCCCATTTCCCCATTTGTAATCACGCTGAAAACGCTGAACACTCTCCAATATACTTTCTCTCTCTATACTTACTTGCTCTGACTTCTCTCTTGTTATTCCCCGTAATAACCCCTCGGATAAGCTACCCCCGGGTACACTATCCATCAGGGAGTTTGGGATGTCAATTGAACAACCCATATAGAAATAAGAACAGCCCCGTATATTCATAAAGATCAAATAATATTCTGATTCCACAAATTTTCAAAGTTACGTACTATATCATGGTCTATTATAATATGCCACTTATGTGAACAAATTTCATTGGTTTATTCTGTAGATGTAGCCATGGAGATTGGGATTTATTCCCCTTTAGCAATTCTCATGGATACAACTATACAAGTCAATACTTTATCCAAGTAAAGAAAAACAAGAGAAATAAAAGTTGAAAAGCATTCCTAGACAAGGTCACAGTTCACAAAGACACTTTTAACCCAAGGTTACCGCTCTTGCCCTCTCGCGTAAATCAAATTTGGACTTTAAAACCTTCCAGTGGCTAGTGATGGGTCAAATATACCGGTAGTGTTATATCACACTAGGTTATTAAAACGTCTTTATAATTTACTTTAAAAGTACAAATATTAGAAATTGAAAGCCTCCACCTTGTGTATGGTGGCTCGAATGGACATATGGTCCCATGCGGTGAACCATTGTGTCATAATTGGGACGCCGATCTCATATGTACTCTTAGGCTATATCTACTCTATTACAGAATCCCTCTATACCTCTTTAATCACTAATTGTTTATGTTGTTCACTTGTTCTCTAAAGAGTATGATAATGGCATATACATAGAATTAGAAAAGGCTTAGGTATTGTAGGATCGGATAGATGTTCTTACCACTAAAGTAAAAACAATCGTTGATAGTGTAGCACATCTTTCCCCTCCTTATAGAATAAGCGTAGTGCCTCGTTTTGATTGCTCACCAACACATACTTAACAAGCTGGTCAATTTTGTTTATTCGGGCTTAATGAGATCAAATACTAAATTGGAACTTATAATTTCATTTTAAAGATCAATATGTAAAAGCATTAGTCCAAAATTAGTTCATATGTAAGTTTATATTTATCTGATAGATGTTTATCCTTGTCAATGGAAGATCTAGTGTTGTGAGAAATTTTGTTACTATTTCTCCATATGTTTTATATGAGTGTTGTTCTTGAGATTGCATAGTTGTAAGGTATCGATCCGTCTCCAGCTCAGGTCTCCAACCTCTGGTCTCAACTCACACACACCACTTAGGCTAGACCTCTCCACTCACCATATCCACTCATCTCCATCAATCTCACACAAAGGGGCCTGGTCTCACAGAGGAGAAGAAAGGAGGGATTTAGCAAAGGGTATCACACAAAGGGGCCTGGTCTCACAGCATATCCACTCATCTCCATCAATCTCACCCCAACCATCTTGGACTGCAATATTATTTACTATTAAATGTTGTGTCCAAGTATAAAAGTTGAAATGTTTGGCAGAATCCACTGGAAACAACTGTTGATCAGGGGGTTTAAAAACTTATTAAAGCAAATGAGTTACCTCATGATGCTAAACTGGTAAACTTGCATGAGTCTCATCCCCACATTATAAGCTTCACTAACCTAATTTACAAGATGCAGCAAGCACAACAATAACAAATTAACAACAACAAGGGCCACTTCCTTAGAAGAGGTTGGCTTTAGGGGAGGGTGCATCGATCACCTCAATCTGGATCTCAACTTCACCACATTCTACATTTCTCAGTCGAAGTATCATCTCTTGCGTCATTTTACCGTGCTCCCAGACAATGTTGCTCCCAACTGCCAAACAGTTTTCGTCGCTTGGCTCCACACTATGAACTTTGTAACCATCTGGCAAGTCTTTCAAACCCATTTTCATTGCTTCAAGGTATGGTTTTAAGTCTATCTCTGCATCTCCCATTTTGTCATCTACGGTGAATGTATCTTTGTCATAAAGAGTCTGGACAGAATAAACATATCAGTTAGGCAACAAATGGTGTGTACCATATACGAAGTATGAATGAAGCTAAGATTCCATCGTAACATGCCCAGACACAACAAATCACATGAATTTGCACATTTTAGGACTAAAAAGTGTCACAATTTCAATAGTTGGACCAAATCATGTTGATCTGAATTTAATGATCAAAAGTGGACAAACACATCAACTGAATGACAAAAAATTATGCTCACTGCTGTTAGACTATTTATTACTCCGTATGTAACATTGCATTTTTTATTCTTCTAAATGCATGTTGTGGAAGAGCCATGAGAACTATAACTTTTTTGGCATTAATAAGTGGGGTTTTTCATGAAATGAGTTCAGTACCCGTCTTTTGATTTGTTTTTTTACTTTTAGTCGTTGTGGCTGAAATTCATTCGTTACACATCTTTGAATTTTTCACTCAAATTATGACAATGACACTTTTGATCATTAAATATTGTGAGAGTGACACTATTGGTCCTCCAACTATTGTTCAAGAACTCAAAGACGAGGACTATAGTGCCATACAGGACTAAAACAATAAACAAAATCAAAGACAGGCCCTAAAGATATTTATGACTACTATGTACGCTATGAAATATATCACTTACAAGTGTGATTGGGGCATTTGGATCATGTATAGCAAGACTCATGTCCACTTCCCAGACTGGGTTGCAACTATCCTTGACAACAGGAGACTTCACTTTCTGCAAAATATAGACTTTACACCATCAGAATAAGCTTGCTTATCACTTTATCTTTTTTTATCAGCAAGAAGACAAACATTGTTAGCTCTAATATTCTGCACATTTTGTGCTCCTTACTCTCTGCCAGAGGCTTGTGATAGTAATCACTCACCAAGTCAACCGCCTTGATGATATTAAGAATTAAGATTAGCTTTTTAAAGGTGAACCTAGGAGCATCCAAAGGCCTTATGGGCGCTTATTTGACTATGTTTGATGGATAGTTCTCAAGCTATGTTTGACAGATATTTCTTGAGAACTTAATGCCAGCTAGAAAAAAAAAGTGACAACCCATAGGGGTGTTAATTAGAGGCTATAGAAGACAGCAGCCAATGCTGAAAAAAAAACTGAGGAAAACAAAGAACTCAATGACAACTACACAAGGGAGTAAAAATGCAACTACCAAAATATATTTCCTTTAGGTGACAGCAAAGCACAACCGGAGAATACAATCTTCTCCAACATCAATCAGGTGCGTGTGAAATCATACATTTCTCAACCAAGTCAATGTCCTCTAAGATGACAGCATATTTTTTAAAATAATACAGAGTAATACACAACATCAAATCCATTTACTTCGCTCTTTAATTCCATATATAATTAGCAATTCACATGTAGCCCTAGACTTCATTGCACATTTGCAGTCTCACTATCTCTTTTCCATCTGTCAAATATCTACTTCAATGAACAAATAACAACCTTCACTATTGGGAATAACTTGTTAGTGACCAGTGTTGCGATAAGACCCATAACTTACGAGGGTTGTTAGTTGAATGAAAACTTTTTATTGTGTTGGCTTGGTCAAATTGCTTAACCAAGTTTTGATAAATTTTCTTTGTCATGGCATAATGGCCCCATATGCTAATTCTCAAAAAGCTACAATGAGACTTATTTCATACTCCGTATTTTCATAGCCTTACTGAATTTATCTTATTATATGACTCATTTATCCATCTTTTCCCTTTTTGTCATCTCTTTTAACTTTATATTCTATATATAATTATAATAATATATCGCTTATGTTGTACATAACTAGTTCATTTTCATTTTCATTTACCCCAGTGCCGCAAAGGCTCCCACCTACGGTGGGGTAAGGGGGGTCGGATGTACACAGTCTTACCCCTGTACTAAAGCACAGAGAGACTGTTTCCGGATGACCCATAGTGAAAATCGTGTCTAAAATTGCATGGACTGACTGCTGCTCCATAACAAAGAAGCGCAGACAGTTTAGTGAGCCATTTTGCTTTATTCCATCATAATCTCAAGACAAAAAAATTGAAAGGTTTGCAATTCGAATTTAATAATCATTATTTCCTAAAGTTAAATTGTTTTAGAATTTATTTATATCTATATATAACCTGATAACCAATAATAATTTAAGAAGAGTTATTAAGTAGATAAAGCTAAATACATACAACCTTACAACTCAAATCATTTTATATAGTCCACTAGTAAAAACAAACAGAGTACATAGAACTAGTGACTTGGTATTAGTTAACACATTTCTTTTCAATATCAGTGAATTAATGAGATATAGAAAATCCTTGATGGAATACAAAGCTATTACAAGACTAAAAGCTCAAACTTCATTTTCAAAAGCTTTCAAATAGAAAGTCTGAATGGTTAGCATGCTTTAGAGGTAGGTCCTGGCAGTTCTGCAGTAACTCATTCTCCTTGTTCAATAAATTAATACTTTGCTAGCAAAGGTCTTGAACGAATAGTACTCCATTAATCAATTCCTAGCTAGTTAATGTCTCATCTCGATTTTGAAAAAAAAAAAACTCTGCAGACGCATAATTGTGAGCGAAATCCATTAAAATATGAAATTTTACATAAAAAAATGTAAATGTATGTCCAAGAAACTGAGGGAAAAGATACAGACCTGATTTCCCATTGTAATTACAACATACGGATCACTGCTGTGCGTATCTCTGACGGCAAGATTGATGCCTCTGCGAACCCGGATTTTCAAAAGACCCAAAAATTCCATTTTTATTCAAAAGCAGTATGAATATCTGGAGATTTGAAATCCTGAATCCACTTTAGGAATTAAATGCTTATAACTTTGGTTTTATATATTTCACGTACCCTCCAATTAAGCATTGCCTTTAATAATTCGGGTGAAGTAGTACTATGTTGTCGAAATTTGGACACGTGGCCGGGTCAGGCTAATCCGGACCCAGGGTTAAGTGGTCAACGACAAACTCAAGTAAATATTGACTAAAAATGGAAACGAGGTTCTATAAATCATGGTTGCTAGGCGCACCCCTATGATTGCTTCATGTAATTTCAAATATCCTTTTTGTAGACACCATTTTCCATTTTATTGTACACTCTTTTATAGGCCTTTTTTGTCTGTATAGACAAAAACGTTTATATGTGCAGATAAAAAAACCTACACAGACACGTGTAAAAGTGTGTATACTAAGAATAATCTTATCCGTGTAATTTAGGGGTGTTTGAAATGGATTATGCTCCTATTTTTTTTTAATCTGAAGCAGAATCAAAATCCGTTTTCAGAAATTGGCATTCATCAATTTCTAAAAAAACTAATTTTAGAAGTAAATTAAAGCACCAAAAGTACTTCTGCACTTTCACCCAAACACCCCTTAGGAAGACAAATTTATCCTTTTCAATTTTCAGTCAAATTTAAAATAGAAAATGCTCGTTGCGTCGTTGATAGAAGCTTCACATGCGACTCGACGATACATTCCTATAAAAACAAATCAATATCAAAATTGACTCTACGCTCAATCTTTTTTAGTAAAACCATAGGAGCATTATCTCTTAGGATGTTTTATTAAGACTATAATTTTCTGATCTAGTTCAATCATGTCACGCCCCGGACCGCATCCGGGTCACGTAGACAACCGCCGTACCCAGTGGCGGATACAGAAAAGTTTGTTATTGGGGGCACTCCAATATGACATAAAGTAAGAGGTAAAGTTTATCCAAAAGCCCGTTTGAAGATCATATTTTTTTCCCGGCTTATCAACCTTATCTGCCATTTTATTCACCAAACATGTAACATTTGATTTCGCAAGTTGAATTATGTAATAATCAAAATAAGTAAGGTTGAAGTTACTTTTCTAGATGAATTGACTGAAGTTACTATAGAATACCATTTCAGTTATTTTTCATATAACTTTTTATATTATTAAAACATAATTTAATTTTTTTTTAATAAATCAGCAGAATCAACTAATACAACACTACAACAGAACGTCATAAATTTTGGTATAAACAGATGATTAGGCCAATCTCAGCATTACCAAACGGACTTTAACTCTCTAATGCAAGTGTATTCATATGAACAACCAAAAATTGAGAAAAATACAAAGACATATGTCCAGGTTCGTCCAATAAGTATATAATATTATAATATATATTTCTTATTTTGGAATCTCTTTATTAGTTTTGTGATTGTATTTTTTGCATTAAAACAATAATATTGTTAAAATAAAATCAATTCAAAACCAGAAAAATTATATTAAGAGTTGAGGGAAAAGTAAATGATTCAATTAGCTAACATTTTTCATGAATTAATTAACTAACTTTATATAGTAACAACTAACACAATAACACATATACTTTTTTTTAGAAACACATATACTTTTCGAGTGTCCTGACATATGGATTTAATCGCAAAAACAATATGGGGGCTTTAGGCATTCTAATTCATCAACCAGTAGAGTATGTAACTATAAAAATTATAAAGTTATTTCTGAAATATTAATTATATAAAATAAAAAACAAATTGTTCACTCTTAATTAAGAGTCTTAATTACTCCGTGGTAATTTGTGTTCTTTGTCAATGTACTCCGTATTTAATTGGGCCATTAGAGCATCCTTCTTTCTTGTTGGGGGCATTTTGTTTTTCTTATGGGGGGCACACCCCTAATTAGTTAATAAAATATAGATTATAAAGCTAAAAAATTAAACTTTATTGGGGGCATGTGCCCCCATAACCTTGAGTGTGTATCCGCCTCTGGCCGTACAACCCGATAAGAACAACAACAGTTCATCCTTATTGAATTGTACAAGACGTCCGATTGATTCTATTGCCAAACCGATTAGTAAACACATACAATCAACATCAATATCATAATCAACAAATGCGGAAATAATAATGTGTTTAATACTTAGCCACATGTGGCAAACACGGGCATGCAGGCCCCCCAACTGTTTTAAAGAAAACAGTGTTCAAAAATCCATGAGCAGTTTATAAATTTGAAATAAGAATGGAAGCACGAACCACGTCTTCCCTCTTGATCAATCACCCTAGGCAAAGGTGCAGGTAGTAGGACTCTAGCCTCAACCTGAAAAATGTGAGGCCCCCCCGCAGGGGTCTGTACTCCATAGAAGTACTAGTGACAAGCAGGTTATATGAAGAATAACTAATGTTTCAGACACGAGACCCAAAAATAGGGTGATATATATATATATATATATATATATATATATATATATATATATATATATATATATATATATATATACTGTATATACTGTATATATATTTGCGTGTGTGTGTGTGTGAGAGAGAGAGAGAGAGAGACTCATCCATCCGATGATACATACTGTATATATATTTGTAAAATACTCGACCCGTAGGTCATTTCATTCAAAGAGTCTTTTAGAGATAAAGTTCTTACCTGACCTTTCTCACTCCTTTCCCGAATGCCTAGCTCACAAGCTACTTTCTACATTCATAATATCCTACCGAGTTTTGGGAGCATTTAGCATCCCGGGGATACTCAACCCCAACCGAGTTTTAGGATCATTTACCGTCCCGGGGATGCTCAACCCCAACCGAGTTTCAGGATCATTTGCAGTCCCGGGGATACTCAACCCCAACCGAGTTTCAGGATCATTTGCAGTCCCGGGGATGCTCAACCCCAACCGAGTTTCAGGATCATTTATAGTCTCGGGGATGCTCAACCCCAACCGAATTTCAGGATCATTTATAGTCCCGGGAATGCTCAACCCCAACCGAGTTTCAGGATCATTTATAGTCCCGGAGATACTCAACCCCAAAATTAATCCTTACCAAACCCTAACCTGGATAACGCTAACCTTTCGTTCCTTTAACTATGGACAATACCTAGCCCTATAGTCATATAACCATCCTTAGGAACCAACGTGGGCGGGTCCCACCTGAACGGCCCACATTAACCCGCTCAAAACTGCCCGTTTTGAGCATAACCCAATACTCGATCGAGTATCTACCCATACTCGGTCGAGTACGGGAGATAGCCCACAAAGCTAATTTTCAATGTATACTCGATCGAGTATCTACCCATACTCGATCGGGTATAGGAGGCAGTATCCCCCTGAAGCAATCTTTCTACAAATACTCGGTCGGGTATGTGTCAATACCCGGTCGGGTATGGCAGTTGACTTGGCGGTCAACGCCCGTTTGACCACCCAAACGGAGTCCGATTAACGTGAAATTTTATACACACATACTTCTTGACATTCTTGATCCAAAAATACCATTTTGGATCCATGGAACCTCACACATAATAAGTTATCACATTTTTAATCACCAAACCTACATAACATGCTTTTCAACTAGGTTTTATGTATAATCATGGCATAAGCAAACACTTGGTTACCTTTAGTCATTCCACAAAACATATCCTTGATTACTTTAGGTAATCTCATGCCTCACGCAAAAGTTATAAAGCATAAAGCCGTCTTCTCACCTTAATGAAGCTTATGAAGTTCTAGCCTTCCCGATTTAGCTCCGGCGAAACTCCGGCGAACTTCGACGAACTTCGGCGACAACTCCGGCGACCCTTTCAACTCCGTGAAAGTTCCTTGAATACCTTATACAAGTTACTAACAAGTGTTTATCATCATAAAACCCATAGTAATACAAATAACCTCAAAAAAGTTATTTTTCGGCGAACCGGTCACCTTGGCTTCTAAGTCCGTTCTTGGACTTAGAACCACCTTCCAACCCCTCATTCTACACTTCCAAACGTGTAGAACAATCCTAGGGTGTGGAATATGATTGTATAATCATATAAAATTATTGAAGAACAAGAAATGAGGTTTATGGAGTCATTACCTTGTTAAACACAAGTTTTTCCACCTAAACTCCTCTTTTCTCTTCTCTTTTCACTTCCTTCTTCCTCCCCTTTCTTTGTGCGGAAATGGTGGATGAAAAATGGTGTATTTGCAGACCTTCTCACTCTTCTTTGGGTGGTTGGATGATAGTGTGAATTTCCTATCATGTATGTTTGTACTTTTAACTAGTTTTTATTAGTTCTAGTTGTGGAAATTACACATTTTTTGTGTAATACTTTGTTTTCATAATTATTTGTAATTTGTTTAGATTAGGACTATTCTGAGCTAAACGGGTCAAAACTCATCCAAGGGATTAAGATGGGACCTCAAAAGATCAAGGAAAGTGCAAGGAGACATGAAAGATTTCGATTTGGAAAAATTACTCTTATACCCGGTCGGGTATAGGCAATACCCGATCGGGTATTTACTTGATTCGGTTGTCCAAATCAAATCCGGGAACAAAGGATCGTGGGAGCAAATTTTCGTAAAGATTTGTCACATACCCGATCGGGTAAATCGACATACCCGATCGGGTATGTCCAGAAATGTGGCTTTCCGGGAAATTTCCTAAGATACCCGATCGGGTATCCTATATACCCGGTCGGGTATCAGCTCCTGCAGCTCCCAAAAGCCTATAAATACACCTCTTTCCTTCACAATAACATATCCAATTCCTTTTTACATCTAAGCTCAGTATAGAATAGTTCTTTCTTTATATTTTTCATCATGTTTAGTCTCCAAATGAGGAGCTAAACTCTTCCACCTTGGTTTTGCTACTTTGAAGCTTAATGAATTTTTAAGTTGTGAGTTATTTTCTTTAATCTTCTTCCTTGAATATTAATTCTTCTTTTAAAATACTATCTCTATATCAAAGTTGGGGAGTGTTACTAAGATGACAATTAGTTAACATCTTGACATTGGTTATAGTAATAGCTATTTCTTCCTCTATGTTAATATTGGGGAGTGTTACTAAGATGACAATTAGTCAACATCTTGATATTAATCATAGTAGGAT